AACCAGGAAAAGTCTTATTGAGATTAAGAATCTTTTTTACTAGAGCGTCCATGTAAAAGTACTCTAAAGGATACCTTTGAGTCTCATTTTTAATTCTGCCACATAACATGAAATCTGAGAGGATTAAATGTATGTATTCATTTACTTTATTTAAAACAGTGGAAATCTGCACATTTTTTAAATTTAATTAAAGGATCATAATAACGTAACTTGTTTGAGATGATGTTTTTTATGATTAAATGGATGAAGGCTTTTTCAAACTTTTTTCAGGAGCAGAGAATCGCTTTAGAAAACACTAATTGAGACTTTTTTTTTAATTATGCCTCATAAGATGATGGCAAAAAAATCAAAGTATTGGTTGTTGGAATAAACTTTATCTGAAGCAAACTATATAGTATATTTAAACTATGTCAGTCTGGTCAAAGGATTTCTCCTTTTTTTCACCAAACTACTCCCCGGCTGAGTCGTAAAGAAAATCTGTGCTAACTGACAGTGACAAGACAACAAGTTGTATCCTCCACTTTGCTGTTTACATATTTTCTTTCAAAGGACACAGAAGTACAGGCTGTTTCTACGGGGGGGGTCAGAGTTGAAGAAGCTTCAGTTTCATATATTTTACCTTCAGCAACAGGCAGACACATCAAAAAAAAAAAAAAAATTGGCGTTCAAAGAGCCTCCAACAGCCCCGCTCCTCCTGCTGTAAACTCATTTCAATCAATCCTTCCTTTTTGCATCCCAAGCAGCCTCTGCTGGCTGCCACCGCCTGAAGATAACTATTTCACCACCTCTGTCATGCCTAATTAACAACTCAGATGTACAATTCAGAAATTTTGCAATTAACCTACTAAAATATTGTTGGAGGATGCTAATTGTTATGCCAGTTGCCATAAAGACTCATTTGCATAACGTATGTGCAAAAAACAATTATGAGCTGTTGATCGCACAGGAGCCCGCGGAAAGCGCTCCGAGCGACGGAGGGGGAGCGAGGGAGACGTTTGCAAGATGGGGGCTCGTGTGTGCAGATGGAGGGACAGCACTGAATCACCGTGCACATGAAGGAAAAAAAGAAAAAAAAGAAAAACTGATTTGAGGAGCCGTGCGTAAAGATACCAGAGCGCTCCGGCACAGAGGCATCTATCTGCACAGCACAAAAGCATTTTCCCTTCCAAATGAAACTGATATGTACACTCTTGTTTTTTCTCTCTCTCGCTTCCTGGCTCTCCCTCTTTTCATCCTTGCTGATGGGGAAATGGAGGGTATTTGGGAGCTACTTAGATAATAGCCACATCTTCCCCGGTCCCCCTCGTGCTTTAGAGGAGGAAGCACAAGTGGCCCTGCCATTGAGCCAGTCAGGAACCCAGCTGTGCGCAAGCTATTCGGCACAACACTATCTAGTCTCTGCAGCCGCATCACTGGGGCTCTGTGAGACAAAAAGCAGCCAAAGTCAATTGTCTCTCCTGCTGAATGGCTTTCTGTTCTCTGTCAGGCATTTACTGGAGATTTTGGAGGATGGAAAAAAACTCTCAGGTGGACGAATAAAGTAAAAAATGAATTCTGTCCCTTTGCTTTTTTTATTTGAACTACAGCTACTAAAGAAATAATAACAATGAGTTTGTGTTAATAATTATAACCCAATTGGAATTAGAGGGGTCATTAAGTTTGTCAGGAATTATTGAAATTAATGTTCCCTGTAGATTTCAGAAATGCTTACCTCCTCAGTCCTAACTCTATTTACTGCAGGTAATGCTTTTAGTCAGCCTTGCATGTGGTTAATTACAAGCTCATCCTGAACTCTATTTAATTAACACACTCTTCTCCCAGCTCAACATTACATATATCGAAGACGAACCCACGAAAGCATGTTTAGCGCTTTGCAGAACATGTGCAACAATCACTGGCTCCGACTCCCTCTCTAATCCACTGCTCTGAACACTGGGTCGGAGCATTTATCAACCTTGAATCTGCCACACTCTCTCTCTCTCTCTTTCGCTCTCTCTCTCCCTCCCCTACCTCTCAAGACCCCCTGTTTCTGAACCTGGCGAGTCAAAGGTCAGCAAAACAACAAGTCAATACGCAGCCAAAAGAAGCGCCGTGCAGCTGAGAGAGCTGTGGAGAGGGGCTAAGCCTCTCTGTGGCACTCCGTGATTTAGCCTGTAATAGTTTTCTGTAATCTCTTTCTATTGATTAAACCTCACATCAAAGAGGAGTCCTGCTACAGAACCTCTCTTTTCCTGGTCAGAAATACCATATGGAGGTAATCTTTCACCTTTGTTATTCTTGCCGCTCCCGCTGCTGCTGCTGCTGGGAGCCTCTCTTCCAAGCCAAGCATGAGAGCAGGACGAGGCAGCAGGATAAAACAAACCCCGGCACACAGGAATAACTGCGAAACTCATCTGAATCACAGGCAATTTTACCTCAATGCCTTCATTGTCCTTGCATGCAGCCTTCAGGGAAACAAAGGTACAACATGAATGCATCCTTTGTGCTCAAACATGAGGGAATAAAACGTTTAATTTCCAAAAAAAAATTCACACGTGCACAGACAGAAAAAACATCACACACTGAAGGACAAAGAGCAGCTCATGCCAGCCATGTCTCACATTCAGCTTATCAAAATGCAAAACCAAGAAAATTTAAGGAAAAAAACCCTCCTGCTAAAAACACTCAATTTAGTGACAGGCAAATGACTTCATGCTGCCACTTAATCTCATTTCTTGCATAATGCTCTCTAATTAGCATATCAAAGTGAATTAATACTTCTAGGGCATTAGCAATGCAGAAACACACTGCAGCTCTACAATAACACTTAAGGGTGCCAGAAACTTCTAAAACTCTTCAAAATGTCTTGCCATTACTGGAAAAAGCACTCCTTTACCTCTCTTGTCTACAAAAAATCTCGAAAACAAGAGCGATTTCGCGCTCCTTTGATTATGTGTCAGCAGTGATCACAAACTAAACATTTAACACAAACACTTCTGCAGCTTTGAAGCTGAACCCTGGACTCGCTTTTCATCCTCATGCCAGACAATAAGGCTGGATAACATGATACATGCGCGCAGTAATTACACCCATGATTCTTGGACCGCTTTCAAATTTATTATTAAAAGCCATTTTCAGCTATCGCTGGATCCCACGGCTAAAAAAGACAGTGTCCCCCCCCCCTCTGTGCCATCGGAACGGACATGAAAGGGCCGAGGATGCCCTGAGAACGGTGCAGCAGGAGCCGGTGAAAGGATCACTGTGTGATGCAAAAGCAGGCCGGTCAACAAGGCCACCAGACCAACTGAGCTCTGTCAATGGCTGAGGGGTGGGACTCTAAACCACAGGTTAACCATGCACACATAAACTAAAACACATACACACACACACACACACTTCGTCCCCCTCTCCTCCCATGTCTCATCTCTTCCTCAAACACACTTACTCCCCAGGACAACCCTACACATGCACACATGGACATATATATTTAATTTAAATTTCATGTCATTAAATCATTTGTTTTTATCCTATTTTGAGTCACTTATCTAAATTCAAGAGCTCAGAGACACTCAAACTGGGGAGTCGTACAAAATTGTAACAAACAAACTGGTAAATCATCTGATGAAAGTAACTCACAGAGTAATCCCTACGTGACAAAAAGGAATTTTCTTTAAATCAATATTTTTCTTACTGACTTCTACCATATTCACATTCAGCAGCACTTCTCTTCTTCTTTTAAATCAAAGATTGCATACAATCAAAATGTGTGTGATATGTGATCCCCCTCTTCCATTGTCTAAACACCAACACACACACACACACTAACATTCACACACAGTAAAGGACCTCGGCTCGACCGGAGACCCTCTGCCTGCCCCTGTGGACACCACCTGTGTTAGGAAGTTCATAAACTTTTATGATCTCTCTTGAGCCAGGTTCCTCATAAAGTGCACAAAGGTCACAAATCTGACCAGGGATCAGGCCTGTTAAATTACACCAATCTCACAGCATTGTTTTATTTCTATTCTGTTTTATTTTTCCTTTGGAGAGAGAGACAGAAAAATGAATTGAAAAACAACTGACTGATGGGTTTGGAATAATCCGAGCATTGGTTCAATTGCACTCTGAATGCAATAATGGAACGAAACTAAAATATAAGTACAAAAAAGTGAAAATAAAAATGAGGTGTTCACTTAATGATATTAATTAAAGCTAGGTTATTTCCCTTGCACATTGTGCTGAGGTTTAGAAACAGCAATCTGTCTGCCCAGGAGGTGACTTTGTCATAATAAACTACTG